ACCATAACCATGTTCTCTGCCTTCTCTTTTGCACCTCCATCCACGTCCTGGATCTAGGCCCTTGTACTTACCCAATAAACTGACTCTGCAAATGACCTTTTTCATGCCTACATCCCTGGCTCCCCACTCTCCTGGAATTTTCTTTATGCCATATTTCATTTTGTAATGGTCCAATCACCAGAAAAGCCTCTGGAGCCCGTTTTCCAGGTGTAGCTCTCATTCTCTGCCTGTGCCTTCAAGTCTGAGGAATGACCTGCTTGCCAAATGCCTGCCTTATTTTGCTGGGGCCTCTCACATGTGTCTGAATCAGCTGCGCACTCCATCCCTCTCTAAGGACTCGCTCCACTCCCCTTCTCTGACTGGGGTCACAGTGCCTCACACCAGTCCACGCACACGAACTCCCTCTTCCCTCTACATGTGCTCTCTGCCCCCTCTTCTCTGCATGGCTAGGTCCTTACCCTGTTCAGGTTCTTAGTTCAACTGTCACCTCCTGAGAAAGGCCTTCCCTGAACTTTGTTTAAATGAGCCATCACCACCTGTTCCCATGGTCTTCTGTATCTGTCAACTCTGATTTTTTTCTCTACCTGACATACTATATATTTACATGGATTTTGTCCGCTTATGTATCAGGTATCTCATCTAGTAATAATATTAACCCCATAGGGGAAAGAACTTTGCTTGTTGGATTCTCTGCTCTCTGCCTAGAATTTGAACACGTCTAACACATCATAGATGCTCGCTGACTACACGCTAATGGAGTGGGTATTCCTGGGACCTTCTCCAGTTCCCCCAAGAAGCCTGAAGCCCTTTGCCTGTCCATCACAAAGAAACATGTCTGTTGTAAAATTGCCCCTCTGATTCCTGACTGAGTTTTTCTTCACCCCCCATCACTGATGAGAACAGTTCATGTACTCTCACAAACCCGCTAGCTCTTCCTACCTGAGTTCATAATGCTGTTGTCTTCCTCCTTCTGTAATAAATTTGCACATCTTCTGCCTCTGTGCCCACAAGTCAACAAATGTGCTTCTGGTCCCAAAGGAGTAACTGTTCCAAGAGCTTTAGTTCTTTTTGGGGGGGGAAAAATAGTTCCTTCTTTCTTTTAAAATCTGTAACTGCTGCCTCTCCTGAGATATTTTTACATTGTGTCTCTAGAGGAGGAATTCCAGCTGATGGCCCAGTGCAGGCCAGAGGCCCATAGACAGACAGTCTGGCTCCAATTTATGTTCTGTGCTAACATGGCTAATAGGCGTTAGTGTTTTGATATAGAGAAGTGCCGTACTTGATCCTGACTTGGTTAAAAACTGGTAACATCTGGCTTAGAATCACACATTTAAGGGCCAAGACTTATTTTCTTCATCCTCCCTCCCTCCCTCCCTCTCTCTCTCTCTCTCTCTCTCTTTCTCTTTCTCTCTCTCTCTCTTTTCCCTTCTCTCTCTGTCTCCCCCTCCCTCCCTTAAAACGTCTTGGGAATAGTTGAAGTATTTTAATAGAGCGGTACACAGAGCAAATTGGCAGAAGTTCAGTTTGCGCCATGTTAAACTCTGATGTAGACACTTGGAACCTACTGAAACTGTTAAATATGTATAATATGTATCAGAGCTTCCACAAAACCCCGTTGGTGCCCTTATTATCCCACTACCCCCCATCCAAGATTTCACCATCACTTCATCTCAGACCCTAAACTCAACACGCACTACAGTTAAACTTAAAAAGGGCAGTTACTCTTGATTCATAAGGTGCCCATAATTCTACAAACATCTCATGAAAATGAGCAAACATCTCTGTATAAAACTTGGGTTCAATCCAGAAGTATGTTTAACTCTCAGACGCCTGATAAAACCATGGGGTTGCTGGCTCTGGTAGCTCCTTCGTAGGAGTCTGGCCAAGCAGAGGGTATCCACCATTACAGATCCTCGCAAGGGCCACCTCCACCAACTTGCTGGTCACCTTTCTTGGAGTCTTAACATCTGTGGGTTCTTCAGCTAGAAAAATGTGGTATCGTAACCCGCTTAGATTTAGCTGTCCTAGTGACTTAGTAAGCTGCTGGGGGAGAAGGGGGAACTCGGTATTTGAAAGTAAGCCCTCACTAAACATTCTCTTAGAAACAGGATCACCACTTCTTACAGACATGGTTTTCCTTGGCTTGGACATGACTATCCCTAGCCCATCTGTGCCAAGCCTTTGGCATGGCTGATGCAAACCCTCCCTTTCAACAGGCCTTGTTCTCTGGAAACCTCAGTAAAATACAGCTAGTTCACACTCCGACAAACCTCAAACCTAAACTTTCCCAGTTAACAAATGATATTTTGCCAGAATGCTTACTAAGTCCTGGCTCTGAGGAGAGGGTGATGTGGAATCACCATTGCCTGAAAAATCAACAGACGACCCCTTCTAGTGCCGTGGGGTTGCATTCCCGTGGAGCGCTCGAATACAGTTTTCATCATACCATACGCTGTGCTTACTTGTTAGAGAATTCATGTTGGTTTTTTTTTATTGTATTTGCATGCTTATCAGATACACAAAATGCATTCTTCATGGATTTGCCTATCACGGGTAGCATAGAGAGTTATGGACTTCAGAAGCATGGAATCAATGAAAGTAACAATCAAAGAGGAACAGTATGTTTTCTCCCAGCCTCGTAAATCTGATCTATAAATGCAAAGAATGTGAGACATGAATATAAGAAATTCAGTAATTTTATTTAAAACTTAAAAAAGAAAATTTGGCACATTATAGGGGAAGAATTCAACCAACCGAGTCTCCAGAAGGAAAACCTTTTAAATAGGACGTTTCTGAATCCCCATCTGAAATATATATCTTTAGGCAGTAATCATCAGAAACATAACGGAGTAGTGTAGAGCTCGGTTTTATTGTCTTGCATCAGTGAACATTCCTCAAAAGCAGAGAGCGTCACTAATGGAATTATATGTTTTCATGCTATAATTACATTTGATTTTTCCTGATATTTCTATAGACTTTTTGTTCATGGCCCCATGACTAGACAGAATATTTACAAGTTTTCCATCCTCAGCCTCTGCACCCCACCCCAAAAAAGAGAGACAGAGACTAGAAATAGGAATTCCTGAACAGAAAAAGACAAATGTAGAGTTTGAAACAAAATTATTCAACCTTCAGGGATTTTCTTTCAACAGCAACGAAAACATGAACAACAACAAAAGAAGTAAGGAAAAAGAATTTCATACTTGAAGGTAACAGCATAAGATCCCTCTGAGACACAAATGAGGCACTCCCTATTTCTGTTTGGTTCTTGAATATTTGTTGGAGAAAATGGAATTTTATCTGGGTCTTTGGGTATGTTGCTCCAAGTGATCCTTTCAGTGCAAGACAAATGAATCTAGCAGACATGTCTGAGCGACTGCAGGACATGATACCAGGATGCCATCAAGTATGTGAACAGTGGACATCTGTTTTTGGAGAGTCTCTGACTATGAAATCCACAGAAATCTCTAAGGAAGTGATGCAAACAATTAGAAAATTGTGTCGACATCCAGCGTGTTTTTACTGCCCTGTCTTCATCTTCTCCCACATCGAGTCTTCACTTGGCTCAGCACACCTCAGTGACCTCTTTCTTTCTTAGCACTCAATTCCTATTCTCTAGGTTTTAATCACTATGGACTATGAAACTGACACTCACTGCAAATATGTTTACTCTAGGGTTTCCTCCTTAAAGCATTATGGAAGGGAGTAAAGGCAGAAAATCTGTTGTTACTGTGTAGGAATGAGAAAAGCAAGGGCTTCTCCTGCTAAGTGGAATGAGGTCAGGGTTATATACTGACATAGATTGGCCTGTTGGGTTGCATATCCTTATCATAAATTGAAGTAAAGTTAACATTAATTTCTCCAAGTTTAAATACATTTTTTTGAAATGCCATTTATTAGAACATTGAAAACACAAGTTTGGTTCTCTCTCCTCAAATCCCTATAGTCTGGCTCCTGGCCCAGCCACTCAACCCAAATCACCCTCTAAAGTCTTCCAAAATAACTTCTCAGCCAAAACCAACAGTATCCTTCTAGACTTGTCAGCTGTATTCAAAACCATATTCTTCTCCCTGCTAATACCCATTCTGGTCTCAAATTATGAGGCTTTGTCCCTTCCAGGTTTTCTAGTTTCTGTATCTCCAGAGGTATACCTATTGCAATTCTTCTTTCAAGATCATTTCAATCTCCCATCATTTCAACCACAATATTTGTGCCTGAATTACTTCCCCAGCCCTATCCCTAAACTCTCCCTACTTGTCAAAGTCTTACACCTCTGTTTTCAGGTTTTCAGCTCTGGTTAATCATGGTAAAGTACCAGCTTTGGTCTTGGTTCTCAGCTCATTGCTGCTAGATAATATCTTGGTTTCTGTAGACAAGAATCAATCACTTGCCTCCTTACTAACTCCCTTATGTTCATTAAACTTCAAACGTATATATTTTCTACTCAGATTACTTTCACTGAACTAATGTTCCTTTAGTTATCCTCAACCCTACCCTCTCTAGTCAAATGCAGGTTAGACCAACTTATATGCATATTCAAATAAATACTGCCTGTTGATCAAAATGCAATTAATAATTGAGTGGTGGTTTTACTGTGTTCCGCCATCTCTTAAGTCTGCTCCATTCTTCAGTAGCCCATCCAAATATATTTCTCCAAAGGACTTTCCATGGGGTATGTATGTATAAACGGGGTCCTGTGAACTAGCTTGCTTCCTTCTTCCTCCTCACGAACATACAGATGTATGTGGAAATGTGTTCGAAGTTGTCTTGATGTGTGTATAAATTCCTATAAATTCAGAGATGTAGCTCTATATTTAGTATGGTTTCGATTACTTTTTGGAAAGGCAGCTTTTTAGATCATTGGGAAATCTTTTGGATCCTAGGTAAAAATCCATACAGTCTACCCACCCCCACTGCCCACAACAATAGGCACTTAAAATATTCTTAATAATAAGTGGTTACTGAAATTTTACCTCATTCCATGTGTATTTTCATTTCAGGATCCCCCCATGGCTGTAACCCTGGGACTCCGAATGGAAGAAATGATTTTTAATCTTGCTGATACACATTTATTTTTTAATGACTTAGAGGTAAGAATTGAAAAAGAAAGGAATAGTCATATCCCAACTATTACAATGCTTAGATGGTTTCTGACTAGACAGATAAGCCTCAAGAATCTGAAAAATACTTCGCTCAAGAGGATAGGAAAGTTTCTGTCAAGGGGAAAGTGTATATACAAATACAAACAAAAGCTAACTTGCGATAATAAAGTCTGCCTCTGTACAGGCACCTGTTTGAAAGAAAAGTATCTCAGAAGAGGAGAAGGTCTGCTTTGCTGTCCCATGCTGGATAACCCCTTTGGCACCTTTAGAATTAACATTAGCTTTTCCAGGTTACTAACCAGGGTATTATTTAGGTTAAATCACTGGGTACTATTCAAGGTGCTGGCATGGGTCCTTAGGGTTTGTAGATAATCTGAAGCCTCATTTTAAACAACATTATCATTCCTTATTTCCTCTGCATCTAGGTAAAACCTTGTTAGAGCCATTTACATAGCACATCTGACTGGTTGCATTGCATTTATTTTCTTTTGTTCTCATTTATCATTTCATTTCTAACCTCAAAGGGAAAGTTAAAAACAGTAACAGAATGAGAGAACTCCCCCTCCCCCAATAGTCTCAAGACCGCTGAATAAATACTGTAATAAGGTATATATGATCTGGCTTCTAATGATCTGGGTGATTAGGCATTCAGATGGTAAAGTTTGAAGTAATTGAGTAGCTAGGCACTGAGCAGACGTACTTCTCAATCCAGTGCTGCCGTGGTGAAATACTTCTTAAGTGACACGTTTACATTTATCTTTTACCCAGTGGTTTCACAGTGAAATAAAAGTGTTTATCTGTAATCATATTATAAATGGAGAGGGAGATTATTATTGCAGAAATCCCACCTTGTGCAGAACATTTTATATTGGATTTCCTATTAATTGAATAATAACCTTTGAAATAAATTTATTTATCACATTATTTTTGTAGAGGAGAAACTATAGGGTCCACAAGCATAAAAATCGTGTCTAAGGTTACCTGGTAGCTAAGTGGCAAAACTGGGATTTGAAACTCTGGAGTTTCTCTGGCTCCAGAGCTCATACTTCACCCCCAGACCACTCTGAAATTAACAGAAGGGTGTGAGAAAGAAAAGCCAAATTAGTCAGTGTCTTAAGTAAGTTTTAAAAATTGACAAGGTCTTAAAACCAGTTTCAGCTGCACTTGAGACATGAGTAAAAATTCTGGTTTTTAGTATATCCCATAAATGTATGTGCTGGAAATCTGGGTAATGTCATTTTTTTTTTTTTTTTTTTTTTTTTTTGGTGGTGGTGTTTTCTCTGCAGTGAGTCACTGTTTTTACTGGATAATAAAATTACTGTCTGTTTAAAGAGGTTTTATTTGTTTTCTTTAATGGCCAATATGAAAGATCAGTATTCCTCAGCAAGTTTTCCAATTTCAGATAATAAGGAAAAATAATCACCTCTCTAAAACCTGATTTAAATTAATCCTGCTACTTATTAGTAGTGTAGCATACAGAATGACTTTGTATATACATTATAATAGAAAACACATTTTAATCTTTTTTGGAACTTGAATTTTTATATATGGCAATAACTTTTAGGTTGGTTTTTCTGTTGGTTAAAATGGATGAGTCTCATTTTTCTAAAGAAAATAATAAGATCACTCATCCTTTTAAACCTGTAAAGGACCAAAAAAAAAAAAAATGTGGTTTTATTTAGATTTTAGAGGTTTTATTTCATTTCATTAATTATTTTTTACTAGAAATAAATGGAATAAATGACCTTTTGTCTTTATAGTGGCACATTAGAAGCCAGATGGAATAAATTTACCACCCAACTTTTTACAGAATAGTAAAGTGAGGAAGCAAAAGTAGCATATCGTGAATTTGCAAATACATTTAGCAAGTTTGACATGAATATTGGCATATCAGAAGCATGTGGTCAGTTATGAGGCTTTAAGAATTTTTATCTTGGATTATGTACTATATAAAATATATTTTTAAAATGCCCGACAGGGTCTCTGGTAAAAATAGTAACTGAGAAAATATTGGTATTGACTTTCTCTTCTGATTATAGCTTTTTAGTGATGTTCTAAAATGTGATTAAAAATTCCATTTGACTCTAGCACTACAACTTAGTATCCAACAGTATCTTATCAATGAAATGATTGAGTATCTGCTTATAAATTGACTGAACACTCATCTGTGCGGCACACGCATGCGCACGACATAGGCGCATGTTAAGTCCGGATGAAGTGCCCAAGGAAACTCAAAGTCTTATTATTGCCTTCAGTGAGATAAACAGGCATGAAAATAAAATCTAAACAGTAGCTTCCAGGGTCATTCAGTGCTGTTACATATATATCCACGATCCTGCTACATCTGATTTTGAAAGTCAACTTGACTTTCTACCCATTTTTTATTTTAGTGAACCTCTGGTAAGCAGATTGTCATGGGCTGCAGAACTGGCATTGAGCGCTTTCTGCTTCTGCAAACAAAGAGGCAAATTCCTCAAGAGAGTAACTACAGCGTTAGCCTATTATTATTTTTTTCTTCTGTATTTAATCACTCAGGGTTCCTTTTCTTAACCCAGAAATCTAATTTGAGACTCAAATCCTTCAATAGATACTGTAACATATGTAGTAGCAGCTGCTCTCACATAATTCCTTAAAAGATACAAATTTAAATCCTAATAGACACTTCCCCGGATCCTGCCCAACTGCAGAGAAAGCAAATGCTGACACTACTCCTCTGAAGAAGAGAATGCTCTCTGTTGAAATAAAATGTTGTTTCAGTTAGAATAACTTCCAGAAAAGGAGGCACTGGGGAGTTCAGGTTCACGAAAGTGAGAGAAGACTGCTCTGTGGATTATAACTGATAAAGATCAGTGACAACTTTATGGTCACCTTGCAAGACAAAATTAAAGAATTTAAGATTAGTAACAGAATTAGTCCAAATATTTGAGTCCTTATACTGAAATTTGTTGAAGCCAAGCATCGCATTGTTTTTAGTAGTTCAGGTTTTGGTCAAAAATAATACTTGTAGAATTCCTCTGAGTGAAAACTAATTGAAGAACAATTATTTCGAATCTTCTAAAAATGTAAGTGATTAAAGTTCAGGTTTCTTTCACTGGACTGTAATCCTTAGGCAAGAGTCCAGAGTCAACAAGCATAGTTAACTAGGCATAAATTAAAAGAGAAGTTCCATTCGGAAAAATCTCAAACATAACTTCAAATATGGAGCTTATGCTCCAGTAAGTTTGATATACTGATGTCCTCAGGAGTAAAAAATAAATTTAGGGGCAAATCGTACAAATTAATCATGTGAGTTAATACTCGAAATGTCAGAGGAATTTCTCTACAAATTAGAATGAGAAGGTATGAAATCTAGAAATAACTTCTAATTACCAGAGTTGTTCGTAGGGATTTCCCCCCACTTTTTTTTGGATATGTATTTATTTATTGTAGTTTATAATAAAAGAGAGAGATGGAAACTATTTACATAATGAAAGATTTCAGAACTTCAGTGGAATGAACAACTTCACATGATGCCACTTTGATAGTGATTTACTTCCATCTTCATGCTTACCGAGAAGGTCACCATCTCTAAATAAGATATAAGTCTTTTTGTCTAGAACTGCTTTGCTGCCTCCCTATTCTGGGAGAAGTTTATTTCCAGTTTTCATGCTAATGATTAAATCTCTCCACCCTTTCCTTTAGAGCCCAACGCAATAGCCACTACTGTTGCTTGCCGTACTTTTCCCTGAGATTTTTCTGGAAGCCTGGTGCCTCCTTTGGTTAAAGTTTGGGCTGGACTCCATTCCACCCATGCTTAGTCAAAAATGGGGTAAACCCTTTCCAAATGCATGCCCCACCCGGACTCCTATAGCCTTGGCCGATACCCCATTCTTTCCCAACTCCCCTCCACTCTTGATGAAAATAGCTTCTTACGTTCCTTACCATATAGAGTACTGTTTTTAATATAATTGGAACTTTGATTAGAAAATTTAAATGATTGTGGTAATTTTGTCAAGAACTGTCATTTGTCTAGATAGCTGCCATTTAGTCAACAAAGAATTGATGAGAGATTACCGTGTGCCAGATTGTGCCTTGGCTGGGAGTGGGGAGGTAATATGGAGGTGGCCCAAACACCCCCCTCAGGGAGCTTTCAGTCAAATTAACTTTTTGGAGCCCTTCCTTACCTATGAGTATTGGTTGACATTTATGTTAAAATCTCTAATTTATGTGTAATTTATGTAAATCATATGAACCTTTAATTTACTTGGATTTTCAAGTTTCAAAATTATATTGATTGGGCTACTTTTTTATTTTACATTTTGAAAGAAGCCCAACTCAGCTAGTTCACCCTCAGACTATAAGAGGGTCTAATATACTCGATGCGGAAAGCTGGAGATGAGATACAAAATACTTCACCATCAGATACTTACCAGGTCCTATAATGAACATAAACAGTAGCTGAAGAGCCCTTGTTTAGTAAGGCACCTTCTTGTCAAAGTTAATAATTTTTTAAAAAGTGATTTTGAAGAGTAAGCATTATGTTACACAGTCAGGATCTGTGAGTATCTGAAATAATTTGAGGGGAGAAAACGAGGTCCAAAAGGCTAAAACATACTTATCCTGAAGTTATTAAGTACTAGGTATTTTAAATGCCCTAGCCAAATTCCCCCTTCAGATCATATACAATTTCACTAAAACTTTACAGATTATTTGAAGATATAACAGGATCCTTAGAACAACAAAGAAGGGTTTACTTTTTATCTTTCTAGATAAGTGACCATTTGAGAACACTGTGACTTCCGTCAGGGCAAGTGTATGTGTATATGTACCTAAAGTTTATTCTCCTCTGAGTTTGTAGCACATTGAAGACAGTAAACCTTCATTATTTCCCTTTTATTCATAAGTATCATTTCCAGCGTCAGGATTCCAAAACTTGAACAAAAGAAATAAAAGATACCAACTCCCATGGCTATCTAGCTTTTTTCTGTGTTAAAAGACCAGGACTTTTAGAATAACATCAGCATGGTCTTTTCATGGTACCCCCGGCCCAGCAAAATGCAGGAAGTCCAGAAATCTCAAAGGACACCGTAATCATCGGGCCCATCCCGATGGGCTCAACAAATAGCAAATAATAGTAATCACCTGAGGTTCAGCCACACAGTTCTGTATGTCTTCAGATTAGCTTTGTTTCCATACTGTATATACAACAGAAAGGGCTGAAAGTGAACACCAGTCATTCTTATAAAAGTTCAGAAAATCATTTATTATCCGTATTTTTCAGAATAAACAATTTTAAGCTGCTCTAAAGAAATCCACATGCCATATGTTTTCAGACCCCTTTTTATGGTACTCTCCTGGATTTAAAACAGAAATGCTGCCTTGTCCCCAGCTTGGCAATGGGATAGATGGGCAAATGCTGCCACCTTCTGGCCATGACCCAATCAAATGGAAAGATGGAAAAACCAAATATCACACAGGCATTGTTTGAAAAACAAATAACTTTTCCAATGTTTTTAACAGGAATGTGATCAAGTTCATATAGATGATGTTTCCTCTGATGATAATGGGCAGGACTTAAGGTAAGCCAGGCCTTTCAGTATGCTCTTTCCTACAGAAATTCAGCTATGGAGTTTTGCACCTGTAATTATTTCTTTTATTTCTTTTTAATGTATTTTGGGTGTTGCAGTACCTACAGTTTTGCAACTGATGGCTTCCATGCAGCTGCAAGTAGTGCAAACCTTTGTTTGCCAACAGGTGTAAGAGGAGGTGTTGACTGGATGAGGAAGTTGGCTTTTCGTTACAGAAGAGTAAAAGAACTATATAACACCTACAAGAACAATGTTGGAGGTATGTGTGGCTCGTTAAATCTAATAAAGATACTGCAGAGAGAGGTAGACACTGAACTGTAGTTCCGTGTTCCGTGTTAGAGACTATTCTACTAGAAAAGATATTAGCAAGAGCCCCTGCTGAACTACACAGTCAGAATTTTAAGTGTCTTCGTTGGTGGGGGGAAAACATGTAACCACAAAATAAAACAGGCGGCTCTGGCCAAAGGAGTTGGGAATTCTTTGTACCCAAATGTTTGGTCAAGATTCACAGCAGGACATGGAAAGTGTACCCGTCTTGTACAGACACTATTCATGTAAACCCGACAGGGGAACTCCTTGAGGCAGCGAGGAAACCTGTCTGAAAGCAAAAGTCCCAGTCATTAAAGCGAAGTGGTTAGTCCTCATTACCTTTCTGGAATACTTTCCAAAATAAACATAAGCAGTGCTTTATATTATTTCAATGACTTAAGTCTATTTTATTTTTTTAAAAATTGCAGGTTATCTGGCAGTATGTCTTTGCCATGTAGAGTATTAACTGTGATTATCATGGTTTTCAAATGTTCGGATACTCTGTAGGTTTTATCTAAGCTGTTTTACCTTCATCCATTTGTTACAGGTGGTATCATAACCTGTAACATCAAAACTAAAATCCTGGATACATTTCTTGATAAAATAAACCTCGGCTGTTTCTATTATTAGGATCAGTTTTAGGTCAGCAAGATCCTAAAATTAGCTATGAAGTCACATAACATTTTTCTCCCAGGGTTTTCTGTTTGTTTCTCTCTCTCTTTTTAAAGGAGGAATGAGGAGTTTAAAATCAGAATCTAAAATTGAATGATAAGTTAAATATACTTATGCATACAATACATATGTACATAAATATACATAGAATATAGTATAGTAAGTAACGTTTTCATCTATGGTATATATATTACATATGGTGGGGCTGTGTGTCAGTTCATCTTGTATTCCCAGTGTCTAATAACCCTTAAGGTACATCATAGATGCTCAGTAGATACTCTGTAGCTCAAAAGAACAAAAAACATACAGGGGTTCATGGGTGGCTCAGTCGGTTAAGTGTCTGCCTTCCGCTCAGGTCATGATCCCGGGGTCCTGGGATCAAGCCCCGAGTTGCGCTCACTGCTCAGTGGGAAGTCTCCTTCTTCTTCTCCCTCTTCTTGTGTGCGCTTTCTCTCTCTCTCAAATGAATAAATAAAATCATTGAAAAAAATGTAGAACCATAAGCAATAGCAATGTTATTATTATGGTTGTTAGAACCAAAAAGGGATCTTAGAAATCTTCATTTCCAAAGTAGAAATAGGCTCCTGTAGGACAGACAACTCCAGTTTCCAAATTCACTCTAATGCTGTAGATAAGACATTCATAAAATCAGACAAACAGATATTCTGTTTAAATTCCATTGTGGGTAACATGTTTAATTTTACAATAAATGTCTCCTTGAGAAATCTGAAGTAATTTTTATTTAGATAGGCATAGTTTCCCTCATGAAGGGTATTAAAGTTATGTAAAAACTAAGATTACTAATAAATAATGTTATAGCTTTAAAAGTTTAAGTGCTGACATGCAAGTCCATTTTCTATGCTCTGTTAGCATCCCTTTTTTTTGAAATAAGGACAAATGAGAGTTGCCAGAAATTAATACATTATGATAAATCATCCATCTGTATATGTGCTCCTAATTTTCTAAAATACAACTTAAATAAGAAACTTCTTTCTAGCAGATTTGCATGATCTTGTTCTATCATAAAACAAGGGTTATTTATTTATTTACTTATTATTCACTAAGCTCCATGTCAAGTGGGGAGCCTGACGTGGGGCTCAATCTCACAACCCTGAGATAAGGACCGGAGCTGGGTTCAAGAGTTGGATGCTCAACCGACTAAGCCACCCAGACACCCCATAAGCAAGGACTTTTTAAATAAAACAATTAGTATGTCTTCTTGTTTTCTTAGCCCAACATCAGTGCAGTTTTAACCATTGTTTATAACTTGTATCACATGCTTTTTAATTTTAAACACAATTTTAAATTTTAAACACAATTCTTTTTAAAACGCACAGTATTAGTGATAGCTTTGGTGCTCGTAGCTACATATGATAACATCCATGGAAAATGGTAATGATTGTGGTTGTTAAGAAGTGAAACATTTTCAGATAGCCAGTGTTTGAGGTTCGTATCCCTCGGCAGGTCGACCCTGGTTTCCTCCCCAGACCTATCATATCCCATCTTTTGGGATGGGACCCCGGCACAGGCGTGGCTGAAGCCCCTCAGGTGATCGTGTCCACGGTGCCACCTTCTGGGTTTGGTGAGAGCAGAGGCTGGGACTCATTCTTTCATTGTTACATCCCCACTGTTTGGCCCAGGACCTGAAATCTAGAAGCTGTTCAGTGAATGTTTGAATGAATGAATGGATCACCAGTTCCTAAGTGAAAGATCACTATCGATACAAATCAGTCTCTCCCTGTTTCTGATATGATCTCTACTAGACAGAAGGGGGACCAAACTAGGTATTCCTGAAATTTTTCATCTCTTGATTCTGCCTTGGTTTTCGGTTGCAGGACTCCTTGGCCCTGCCAAGAGAGATGCATGGTTACAGTTAAGGGCAGAGATTGAAGGTCTCACCGACTCCTGGCTAACAAACGCACTTAAATCTTTATCAATTATTAGTACTAGGTAAGTGGTATTATTTCAGTTTCTGTATTTATTGAAGATGTGGTTGTAATAGTACAACACATATACAGATTCATTAATTACTAGAGTATTTTGGAATTTCTGGGGACCTAACAATTCACTGAAGCAAGTGATTTTCAATGTGTGTTGGGGGAGGTGTTTGGGGGCAGAAGATGGGAGTTGCTGCTTCCCAGAATAACCAGGAGATCCCTTGTCTTTACCCTCCTTTCTACATAACTACTGATAATCTCCCAGGAAGGTCATGGGACTAGTCATAAAAGAAAGAAAAACAACAAAAAAGACAGCACCCTGTTGGTGGCAAAGTACAGGAGATGATGAATAAAAATAAAACAGTAGTTTACACATAGACTGCATGTTTTAAGCGTTTGGGCCCACTATAGATAATATGCATAATTTAAATGCAAGAAAGTTGCCAGTGGAAGCTCTTTGAAAAACTTGTAATCTTTGCACCATTTGAACTAAATAGTGAAATACTGCCTTAGTAGCGTAGATAATAGAACTGAATAGACTTATAATTAGTTGAACACCATGTGCCATAAATGCTAGTTCATGAAGTAGTATAAATCCGGAAAGCAATCACTAGTTAGGGTGGATGAAGCATGCATAGCCAAGCTGTGGTAGCACAAATTCAGAAGAAGAGGTCATATTTGGACTGATTGAACAGAAATCTTGGTGGGGTAAAAGGAGAATCCAGGAATAGAATACAGAAGTTAGCATGTATATGTCCCATCCTGCACGTGACGTCCAGCTGCCACATGACCAGCAACTATATTGATGTCAGAAACTATGAGTGGGTGGATGGAGATGGGTAGGAAGTGGCAGGTTTCCTGGGTCAGGATGGGGAAGCCACACCAGAGTACTTGGCTTGCTCTGGGCACCACATTCCAATGGGGGCTGTGGCATATTTGACACATCTTTTGTCCAGCGAAGTGGCCAGAAGGGTTTCAGGCTGAGGATACCACATGAAAGGGGCAGTTGGAGGGAGGAACCAAGGAGTTTCATCTGAAGGAGTGTCCCATGTGGGACAAGATGACCAATTTCAATTGTTTGAGATGTTAGGCTGAAAATAAATTACATTTCCCTCTGATCTGTAAAGGAGAAAATTAGAATGGATGAGTGGGAAGCCTAGGAAGGAAAGTTCTGACTCTATGGGAGGAAGAACTGTCTCACAACTGAAGCTGTTTTAAAATGGGACTTGCTGGCTTGTGATCTGTAACTAGGGATATGGAGACAAAAGGTCAAGGAAATTAGGATGGGAGGACTCCTAAGTGTCTGAAATTGTGCATAAAATGTAGTAGAATGTGCATTTCTCTGAGGAGGAAGTCAGCAGCTTTCACTCTTTCTAAAAGAGTTCTCTTAGATGCTTAAATACCAAAGGTTCTTACAGTGTTATGTAGATCATATATGTGTTACCCATAATAGAAAGAGATTATTATTATTATACACATGGCTTTAAGGCAACTACATGGGTATGTGACTTTTAAGAAATAAAAATATAACAAAGAGAAGAAGGGGAAAAATAAGTCATTACACATTAGAGATTTAAGTGCTGTGAAATTTGCTAAGTCATCCACATGTAGGACCTGACTGGTCCTTATAAAATGTCCAAGATGTCAGGAGAACGGAAACTTATATAAAACATGGCTGTTTTATACGTTTCTGAGCCTTTAGCTAAGTTTGCACCTTCCAGCTCTAATTCTTCTCCTGTGAATATAGTCAAAGGTCATAACCAAATGTGTAGGAAATTTTTCTATGTAAGACATTATTTATATAATGTTCAGAAACCAAACCATCTTAAGTGAGCTAACTTAAAAAAAAAAAAAAATGATCCCGCAGCCACAAGTGGTTTTCACACATTATATTTTGTTGGGAAAGGAGGACTAATAGAGAGTATGACATATATAAATAGGCTCATGATACAAACAAGCAAAAAATGTAGAAGAAATTATATATATAGTATGGTACTAATGAGAAAATCTATATGCAAACAAATCCTGAAAGTAAACACACAAAATGGTGAGAGCAGTTACCCTCTGCTCTCTGGATAGCTAAATAATTGATGCTTTTCATGTTCTTGATGTTTTCCCATATTTCACAAATGTATATACATGCAACCTATAAATATATGCAATGTTTGTAATTAAAAGTTACATGCATTATAAATTGAATATTAGATAAATGCAATGTTTGCAATTTTAAAGTCTATAATTTACAAGTATATATGAGGTTTGTAACTTAGGAAAGAAATGATATAACTCCAAATTTCACTGTCTCAGTGGCAAAGCTAGATTGCAAAACATTACTTCAGTACAGTTATGTGTTTATGTATTATGCTAAATAATCTGCCATTATTTGGGGAGTTTCTGTCTGATAACAGGCAAATCACTTTCTAGGTCTCTAATGCCTTATCAGCAGCATTAAGGTTTCCATTGGTGATACTTATTAAACTTCTACCTCTGGAAGGCTTTGTTTCTTCATCCCATATAAGTGAGAACCTCATCACGTGCTTCCAGAAGTCAGAGCTCCCATTATAAAATCAGGTTATCTATGGAAATAATTTAGAAATGAAAATGTTTTAAAAACCTGTAATTATACAGGTTTTATAATTGTTCTTGGGACAAATTGCAGTTTTTCTTTACGCAGGATACGTCTAAAGAATATAAAGCATAATATTAAGTGTACTGGGGGATAAGCATATACATACCATGAAAAGTTGGCACCCAACTTGGTCTTCTATCTTCTAAATTCTAACCAAGCTTATGAAAATCAATCTAGAGACTTCTCGAGAATATTTTGGGGGCTCTCACTAATATGTATTAAAGGCTCGTGCTACAAAATATCAATAGAGAAAGGCCCATCCCTATATGCCTTCTGAGTCCCAATTTGATGTGTGCGGTTTGAGCCCCTCAAGGCAGGAAGGCTCAATTTTTACATAATCCAAAAGGAAGGACCACAATCCATTCTTTCCAGATCCCTGCCTCTCAGTTCCTACTCTCTTAGTGTTTCCTTTATCTCCCTGAAATATTACCATGAGAGAAACAGCTGTAAGTTACAAATTGGGACACTGTCACTCTCAGAGAGTAGAGCCTTTGTAGACGGATTAAAACTGGGCCCATTAAATGCAGTTTGCTCTTTGTTGTTGTTAAGAAGGAGATTCAGGGATTCACCTTTTCTGGATTAAATAAGGGTCCTCTCCATTCTTACTTATTCAGGATCCCCATCTCTCAGCCCCTTGATTTGGAATGCTGAACTATTTCTCGCACAAAATCCCAAAACACCTTTTACCCATCCTATCACCTTCTTTCTGCCTATGTCTACTACTTTTCTTCTAACCCCAGGACATAGACTCTTACCCCAAAAAACACTTCGTCTGGATACCCATGAAGCTTAGAGCTACACTCTCCCTCTGATAACCTTCCCATAATTGCCACTGGCTGAGGTAGGTGTGCTTCTCTGAGGTTCCACAGAAGCCAGAGGAGATCTTTATTATAGAACACATTTCATATTGCAGATGTCTTATTTCCTTCTCTCTCTCCTATCTCTCTTGTGATCTGGAGGGGAGCGGGGACAAAATGTCATCCATGTGTGACTTCTTTTTGCCTGTCTTCCTCCACGTCCTCCATTTTGGGATGTATTCCTAACCCCTGTCACGGAGCCTGCCGGGTAGCAGACAGTCCGTAAATAACTGTTGACGTTTAAAGGTTAGGTTATCAGGGCCCATTTTTTATGGAATCAAAAGACCACAGTGACCATTTACAACCTGCACCATTAGAAATTATTTAGAATTAGAAAACAACTCTGCGTATTTCCTCCCTGTCTTAGGAGTAACTGCGTAAATGTCTTGGTCACGACAACCCAACTGATCCCAGCACTTGCGAAGGTTCTCCTCTATAGTTTAGGAGGTGCTTTCCCCATTGAGAATATTTACAGTGCAACTAAAATAGGTAAGAAAATTCTTTCTAACTCTGCATGAAATGTGTTCACATCTGTGTCTTAGAGGATGTTCTCGGTATGTCTCTCTGCATGATTCCCTCTTTTATCGGTTTTGCTACAAAAAAAAATTTGCTATCAAGCAAATTTGAACAGAGCTCAGATAACAAAGCAGCCTGTGACCCATTGTACACATGCAAATTTTATGAAAACTGTTCCCTAGTGAAATTCTGAGGCCAATATCAGGACAGTTCTGTATACTTATTTATGTCTTTGTATTTGTCTTTCATTGCAGCCCCTGTTTTCTAAATAACAGAGTGTCTTTGGCCATGGTACTGAATATCTTAGTTAGGATGGTATATGGTATTTCATCTTTGCAGATGCAGTAATCTAGATCTAAGATAAAAATATGATGCTGGCATTATAGGGAAGTGCCAGATGGATGGAAATAACATCCTTAATTCCAGGAAAAATAATATCTCACGAATTATAACTCATGAATGGCTGGAAATCCACATTTTCAACAATGTTCCACAGTAGTCAGAGAACTACAGCCTTGTTTATTTGCTTACTATCCGTCTTCAGAGCCATCTTTGATTTAAAGAGACTATGTCTCTAATCATCTTTCAAAAACTGAGCTTCCTAACCTCCGCCGTCCTGAAAGAGTTAAAAGAAAACAGCCTCCGTATGGCACTGTCTTGTCAAGGAAATGCCTGGGGAAGTAGGTTGTATAATGTACCCCGCAGGTCAGCAAACTTAGGTGCTGGCACCTTGACAAGAGCTCAGAATCCCAAAATCCCCTACCAAAAATAACCTTCGCTGGGTCTCACAGAGTTTCTGTATTGGCACCAGCTAAAAAGAGCCCCCGGTTGCAGCTGTTTGAGGAGTGGAGTTAAAGAGAGCCTTTATAAGCTTTCGTAATGTAAATTCCACATTGTCATAGGCACTGCAGCTCAGAGCCCTGATGCCAGGCCCACTCATTCGTTACAGAAATGTATGTATTCCTCCTAGCAGGCTTAACCTAGCTCACTTTATTTTGCATTTTGACACGTCAAATCATTTCACACCAGCATAAATGTTTCTTCTAGCTGGGACAAGATTCTTTTTTTTTTAACTGGCCAAATTGTTCCTTATATTTAATCTGAAAAAACAATCATTTTTATTTTTCCCTTTAAGCTAGTATTTTTTTGGAGTTCTGAACTATCAGATTAGGAAAAAAAAAAAAAATGCAAAAATAGCCATGACTGCATGAACATTGTGGGAGTGAAATTCAGAGAATTATGCCAGTGTTGTAAAATGAAGAACATGTAGAAATTCCACCATGTTATTCCCATAGTGCAGTCAGAGGAGACAGGTGCCAGCAGTTCTGTGACCCAAACAACTCCCTTAGTACAATTAATCTGAGCAGACTAGCTCCCAGCCACTTGAAGAAAGGAGTTGTTTATCAAGGTAAATGCACATCTTAGTATTTCCTCTTTCCTTACAGACGAACCTTCAGTTTTTTACAAAAACTTGTAAATACTACTTGTTTTTTTACAAAAACTTGTAAATACTACAAGTATTTTTTACAAAAACTTGTCTATACTACTTAAACTAGATAAAATAGATACACAGAATTAAACAAAAAAAATGTTAAAACTCATGGTTGCTTGTAAAGTTGTTCCAGCATTCTTTTGGTGGTGTAAAAGATGCTAACATTTTCTCCGGGTCAATGTTTAACCCTACTGACTATTTTGGAGTGTGAAGCGCATTTGCATAATACTCTGTCTCAAGTAAAGACTTATATTTTTCAAACGTATTTGTTGATTTCATAAAGCCAGAGGTTGCAAGCTAGTCTAAGTGATTGATGTTCAAGAAAAATTAACCTAACACTTTATGAATCTTTAGGTTAATGAATGCAATGGCTGGAAGAATAAGCAGTGCATTGTTTTTCAGGCAAGGAAAGCTGTTTTGAGCGTATAGTGTCCAGATTTGGCACTAACATAACTTATGTTGTGATTGGAGATGGCCGAGATGAGGAGCATGCCGCTAACCAGGTAACTTCACTCTGAACTTTATCTCGTTTATCTTCCAGGAAAAGAAAGTTGCTTTGAACGAATAATGCAAAGGTTTGGCAGAAAAGTAGTATATGTTGTAATTGGGGATGGTGTAGAAGAAGAACAGGCAGCAAAAAAGGTAACCTGTCTCAAACAATGTTGGTGTGATACTTCTGATGCAAGCTTTTGTGTTTGCATTCCTGTAGTTTGGCCCAATGGCAGCTTGACAAATGACTTAAATGTGTAGCTGCAAAGCTGTAAAAGCATGAGAAGGTTAATACTTACATTCAAAGAAACCATTTGGAGTCTAGCACTTTTTGCCTGAAATTTGAAACAAAATGTACAAAAATTTAGTCAGATTTATTTGTGCGTGCGTGTGTGTGTGTGTGTACGGGTAATGCACACAGATATGGTGATTTTTGAGAAAGGTGGGGGGAAAATAACCATTTTTAAACACATGAAGCTCAACCTGATAGACAGCTTTAGGGAGCTCCATAGAAATCATGTAAGTGGCTCTGTTCTTACCCTCTTGCTCACCCTCCTTTATGCCAATGGTCCTTGTGAGTGCCTTGTAGTAAGTGTGTTCCATAGTGATAAATGATAAGGAAAGATTTAGTAGCTGAAGGAAAACACTGTTGCTAGAGAATTTAGTAAATGCTATCGGAATGACATATACTATCCAGATCCTTTGTTGCCAACTTGTCATTGAGACTTAGAGGCAGTACGCCTTATGTCTTCTAGAAGTCTGTTTCAGCGAGCTGCTAGCATTTGATTGAAGCCAAGCAGCTGGCATTGAACATACTCAGAAAATCTTGTAGGCCCTAGGTATTTAAATAAGCCTTTCCATCTGGCCCATATTTTTGAAGAAGAAATTAATGTAGTTAAAAACCGTTAAATGGTTGGCCCAAGATCAAAAGAGGAATGATACCGGGGATTGGTCCTAGGAACCAAACTATCGGTTGACACAACACTGAGATCGAATGCTTCCTTTACTAAATGGTCCCAAAATATCATCCAGCCAGGATAAAAAATCATATAATTTGTAAAATAAAGCAAAACAATGCTTGCTAATTTTTTTTAAAGATTTTATTTATTTATTTGACAGACAGAGATCACAAGTAGGCAGAGAGGTAGGCAGAGAGAGAGGAGGAAGCAGGCTCCATGCTGAGCAGAGAGCCCAATGCAGGGCTCGATCCCAGGACCCCGAGATCATGACCTGAGCCGAAGGCAGAGGTTTAACCCACTGAGCCACCCAGGCACCCCGATGCTTGCTATTTTTAAACAGAGACATAATCAGCTTATAATGTTGTACATAGAAAGAATGTTGTCCTTATTCTGAGGAGATCTCAAATCATCTAATGAAGCCTTCACTAACCACTTGCAAAGTGCTCAAGGGTTTACCTGATTTCTGTTTTCCTAAATAAATAAATAAAGGAAATTTTAAGAAAAGTTTAGCTATACTAGAAAGCTGAAAGAAATGACTTTGGTTTGTAGATCATTCAAATCAAGCAAAGTGAAGAAAGAGAACGAGCTTCTGTTTTAGAAAGTTTGGTGAAGTATTGGAAGCCATAATTGAAAAATTCCATGCTTTTTCATTAACACTAAGAGAACTGGCATAGGCTTTGACTCCCACAGAACTCTTGGTTGTAATTGTTGGCAGCATCACTGACACAAGACAGCACACTGACCCCCTAGGACATTCTGTATTAGGCCAGAGATGGAGCCTCAAGAAACCCAACTTTCATTGCCAACTGCTTCTAAAAAGCCTTCCAGTGGCACACAGTAGAAGTATCTTTTGGAGTTTGTCCATGTCTGGAGTCCTGCTGTTTTTCATATTGGCACCATCATGACCCACAACAAGTAGTCAATGCACAAACGCAGCAAAACATTTTGCATGTCTTGTAGACTATGTGAAATTCACACATACCTAGGTCAGGGCAATATAAATTCACTTTTCCAAACCAGAAACATTATATGCCTGAAACTGAAAATCTATAAAGTCTACACCACTTATCCACGGTGTGAAAACAGGACTTGGCTCTTCAGTTGTTACACCCTCTGCTTTATACCTGAAACTTCAGGAGAAAAAGTCGTGACTCCAAGTGGAAGAGAACCTTGTTAGAATGCTATTTCCAAATGGTTGTTTATGTAGGTACAGTTTTGGTGATGGTTAAAGCTTATGGGTTCTGTTTGGAAAAACAGGTGGCTGGTTCCTCTAGTATCCAGAATGCATGCTTTCCTTTGGATGTGGCTATAATCGCATGCGCAGAAATACAAAGTACTATTTGGTTATTATAAATAGATCTGAGCTGAATGAGAAAAAAAAGGTTACTTCTAGGTGAATTTCTGTGCTTTAAATGGACCTAGAAACATGTTTTCTTTTGCAAATTTAAGAAGAGATTTCAAAGGTTAAGAACTAATGTATAAACCACAGCCCCCTATAGAAATATATAATGTGAGCCATTATTGTAATTGCAAGTTTTCTGGAAGTTGCATTAAAATAAATAAGAGGGAGAATTAATTTTAGTAATACACTTTAACCCAATATGTTAAAATATTATTGTCTCAACACCTAATAAATACACTAGTTACTAATGTGATGTTTACATTCTAAGTCTCTGAAATTCAGTATGCATTTAGAACAGGACTTGTCACAGTTCAAGTACTCAACAGATATATGGGGCTACTGGCTACCATATTGGACAACAAAGAATCATAACAATAGTGATTGTTATTTTAATGTTTAACCTTTATAATACATTTTCCATGTTATACATACATATATGTATCTCCATTTATATATATATATATATATATATATATGTGTGTAATGCATATATATGTATATGTATTCTACACATATATATTCTACAAGATACCATCAGCAAAAATTACAAATAATGCTTTGGTTTTAATTGCTACTATGCATTATTTCTTTTTTTCATTATTGTCCATAATGGAGTATTTTTAGACAGTTTTTTGGAATCACAATTTTTCATGAAACTTATCACACAAATACTATATCCTGGTATATCTTTGGAGAGGCTCAAACCATTGTAATGTCTAAGAATATTTTACCCACAAGAGGTCGTTTCTGTCCCCTTTAATGTATATCACCCTTATTGTGAATGGATGCTGGAGAGCTTTCTCTCAGTCCCATACCAATGAAATAAGTCAGTGCTACTGGTTTATTACTTACGCCAGACAAGGAAGAAGGTCGATCATCCCCACATTGTTTTCTACCTTCTATAGTCCGGCTTCAAATTATTTAGTACATATAAAGAAATTCACCTTCTTCCTCTCATATAGACAAAAAGCCTTGGACATAGGAAGTGTATCATTTTTTTAAAAATATTGTTTCTAACTCTAAGGAGTGTTGTGGTTAAAAATTGCTTTCTATCAGTCATGGAGGCTTTTCATGCTCAACTTGCTTCCCTGGATGCTGATGTTGGTCATGATTTTCCAGAATAAATACTAAACTACCTAAGAAATCTCAGTATTTGCTTTTATAAACACTAAAATCCAGTTCAGATCTATTTCTCTAGTATTTTGACAATATAATATGGATGCTACCAAGGCTTCAAATACGATCCTGCCTCCTTTGAGTTCCCTCCCTTGAACGTGGGTGAACCACACGTCTTGGTGTTTATTGCTGCTTTATTGAGACGATAGTTATGATTTCTCTCCATTCCTTCCCCTTCTCTCCTCTGTCCCTCCCTCTGTTAATACACAGCACAACATGCCCTTTTGGAGGATATCAAGTCACTCAGACCTCTTGGCTCTTCATCAAGCACTGGAATTAGAGTATTTGTAACTGTGTTCTCTAGCTGGAGATCCATTTTTTTTTTTTTTTAATTTCAAAGTACACTGAATTTTTATGTGTGATTCAATGCCTCTGGCTTTACACATATAAATTGTCTTAAAGGATGAAATCATATTTGGAATGAAAATTCCAGAATGAAGAATTCAGATTGCTGAATGGAGTTAAACTTTAGCGCTACAGAAAGGAAGCTCTATGGTCTTATATTTACAACACTTTAATGGTTTAAAACAAAAAAAATCTGTGGAGGTTGCTGGTACACACCGAGTGAGTCCTCACTGGAATTAACAGCTTTAGCAAAGAACGCTGACCCTGGCAGAACGCCAACACAGGCTCCGTCCGACAAGGTGGTGTTCAACAACATTCCTCAAAATGGGAGATCTTCTCAGCCCTGAGGTTTGAATCTGACTTTAGCCTACCTAGCCCAGAAAATCTGAATTGGAATGCACTCAGACTGTATAAGGACAATCCTATCTAGACCTGTAATTTGTGTAAATTATTGATGAAAATAATTTACTGTGACTTTATTAGCAGCTGACTTTGCAAGTGGATGCAATTTTTCTTTCATTTTTTGGGGAGGGAAGGGGGTGGGCAATGGGAGTCTCATAATGTCTCTTTTTTAAGTTTGGCAAACAGAATGTTCATACTGATGTGTTGTGCCTTAAAGACAAGACAGCGTTTGTGTGTTACGGTGTAACTTTGGTTAAAATCTCTGTAGATAATGAAAAACAAAAACAACAACAAAAAAAAAACCTTTGTGATCATTCTTAAGATGACCAAATTTAAAATTCAAGCTATCAGAGCTTAATACTGCATCACCAAGAAACTGAGTATTTGTTGCAACAAGAAAACAATGATAATAAAGGAAAGCTTGTATTTTATTTGGGTTCTTAATAATTCCAATAATTATATGAGGCAACTACTTATGCATCCAGCCATAAGCAGAAGGTTTGGGAAAGACTGTGGGACCGTTACTTAGAAAGTGAAATGTATGTTGAAGTCTCAAGTACCCCTTTTTACAGTTCTTCTGGAGAAAACTAAGAGCCATATTCAAGACTACTTACACTATTTTGAGTTTGACTTTTTGATATGTGTAAGTTGTGTAGAGGAACATAGTCTCATTAAATTCATAAACAAATAGCACCCAAACTTTCTTAGGCTATGCCATGAACATGGCTTGAAATTCACATTGAGTGAACATGGCTTAAAATAAAAGCTAGGTGCATTCATTCCCAATGCCGTTGCAAAAACGAAATGTCATCAGTGTTGGAAGGCGAATGCCCAAATGCCCTCTGAAGAAAGGATGAGTCAATGAAAATTTCACCTAGAATGTATCATCCTAAAATAAATTGGCAAGTGAGCCAGATCTTGGCAGCAATACTAAAATTACAACAGCGAAATAGTATCTGGTTCTCCGTCTGAATGCGTCAGTCCAGTTTCTCTCCCTTAGAGACCCACGCACCTTCGTTTCTGCCCGCCCTGTTCCTGCACAATGGCTTGCATTCATCTCAAGGAGAACCTGTCATCGGTGTGTGTGCATGTGTTTTTTTTTTTTTCTTGGTGTGTAGCCCATGTTAAGAACACGATACAAGTTCTCCTGTCATTTTGTATGACATGATTTCCCTTGTGGAAATTTAAGACCTCAAGATCTAGGAGTGTTTTAATAGTGTCTGCACCTGCAGCTCTGTGTTTAAACTGTCCTAATGTGGAAGCAGGAGTCCAGCTAATAGGCAGCCCCCCTAACCAGAGGCTGGTCTGTGATAGCTCATCATCTGAGGCTTCGGTGGCTCCCGTGAGATCAGTGCTTTTGGACACTGATCCCAACATTCACTATGGAAGTTTAATTTTCTAGGTTGTAAACCTCTATTTCTTTACTGAATGCTAAGGCCATATTTACACCAGGCAGAAAGAGCTTGAGATCCAAGTTTGCAGATTTTAAGACTCCGACTTCATCACACAAACTTTAAACTTATTCTTTAAATTTTATAACTTTTGGCTCTCTCTGCCCCAAGCACTGCTGCAGATGAATTAAGCTTGCAATAATTTTAATAATAATGATCATCATCATCATCATCATCATCTCACACTTCTATTGGTATGTAGCTTGAAAATGGCAGTTTAAAAAAAAACAAAGAGCTGCACTGATGATCAATTCTGTTTTGTGCACTAAAACCTTAAATATTTATTACTGTGAATGAAACAATATTCTCTTTCTAGCCAGTTTCTTTAAATGATAGAATTGTGGCATTGCATCTAGACTCTTAATTATTTTTCATATCAAACAAGCAAGGATTTTAATGCTGCTAACCCTGCAGGGCCAGAAAGGAACAGTCCTTCACAGGCAAAGGAAGGGTCACCAATGACATCACCCAGTGCTGTTTCTCACATACATTTTCTCCCCTGCTTGTGTGTTCAGAAGAGGCTGCTGGCATAAAGCCCAAGCTGTTCACGAAGAGCTCGTCCAAAACAACGGCACAGGCCAATATGGCTCACCTCACAGCCTGTCATGCAACTTGGAGCATGCTCACACTAGAACTGCCCTTCCTGTGCTAGGAACGGAGGTCCTCTTCCTTTCTGATCTAAAACAACAACAACAACAAAAAAGCCAACAAGCAAAAGGAACAACCTCTTTGGCAACTCCCACTTGCTTTTGACATAGACTGTTGTGCTTTGTTATTAACCAGTTCAAAAAACGTTCTGTCACTGAGTTTTCGGCTAGTACGTGTACGAACGTGGTCCATCACTAGGAAAGGTAACCACCTCGTGTCACACTTGAGAAATATCGAAGCAGGTGGCCTGGCTACAATAGTATAGCTTACAAGATTAAGTCACTATTTTCCTACAAAAGTTTGTAAGTCAAATTCAGAGACCAAAAAAAAAAAAAAAAAAAAAAAATTAGAATCAAGCAGTTGGTGCACAAAAAAGTGAATAACTCTAAAAATGTTTTTTCGTTAGTCTCATGGGTAAAGATTCAAGATAATGTCAATAGCATGCTCCAGTTTGAAGTTTTTTTTTTCTTTTAAGTGGATTTGTTTATGACAAGCCTATGTTCTCAGTGAATATGGCATTTAGTATTTCTTTCAAAAACAAATTAAAGCATCATGAGCCAAAGTTGCATTTTGACTCTCAACTACGGTAGCATTTTGGAAATCTCACAAAGTCAAGGGTTTCTGTTATGTATTAGTAAAGTATAGATTATCGGGGCCGACATAATTTAAAGAAATGTAAATTAATATTAAAAGCTTGTAAAAATATGTACATCTTTACTATTTCTCAATAAATACCTTTGGAAATGTTTTCATTTTCTTCACCCTCCCATGTTGTAGAGTTTTTGTTGTGTGGACTTAGCTCAATTCTGAATAATGTGAAATGTATATTTAGGCTTTCTGATGTATTTTTATCTTCCTTTGCTTATGTCTCGGTGATGTCTTTTGCAGTTAAGGCAAGCTGAGATGTAACATGACAGAATGTCACTCATCAAGACTAAAAAGCAGGCTGGTGTGCCAAAAGGATGCAAGTTGCTTTGTTTTTGTTTTTTCTGTTTTGTTTTTTTGCTTGTTTTTTTTTGTTTTACATAGGAGCAGTCACATTCAAGTGTAATGCAGAAAGGAGTTGCAGTTCATTAATGACAACATAACATCTCTTAGAATATTGAAAGCAGGGTTTTTTAAATGAATATGGGACCCAGTTTCTAAGTAGCTCGAAGAATGATAAAAGCAGAGTTGTTCTTAAATAGCTTTTTTACTTATCGAAATTCAAGTTAGTTAACACATAGTGTATTATTCATTTTAGGGTAGAATTTAGTCATTCATCAGTTGCACATAACACCCAGTGCTCATTCCATCACGTGCCCTCCTTCATGCCTGTCACACAGTTACCCCATCTCCCCACCCCCCTCCCCTCCAGCAGCCCCCAGTTTGTTTCTAGAGTTCAGGGTCTCTTATGGTTTGTCTCCCTCTCTATTTTCATCATATTTTTCCTTCCCTTCCCTTATGTTCATCTGTTTTGTTTCTTAAATTCCACATAGAGTGAAATCCTCTGGTATGTGTGTTTCTCTGACTGACTTATTTTACTTAGCATAAAACTCTCTAGTTCCATCCATGTTGTTGCAAATGGCAAGATTTTTGATGGCTGAGTAATAGTCCATTGTCTTAAATAGCTTTTAACAGCTTTATCACCTTGTGTATGGTATTGATTTATTTGCAAATCTGCTCTTCAAATGCAAACCAAAAGGAGATTTCAGACATCCTCATTCACAACTTTTTAAAAGGTTCACCTCTAAATCGAGTATGTCCCACAAGTTCGCCCAGCACTTCTATCATTTCCCTGCTTTACTGTTAAATAATACTCCCTCAACCTACGCAACATGGCACAAAATTTTGTTTATCCTTTGTATTGGATGACTCCCCACTAGAATGTGTTCTCTGTGAGGGCAGGAATTTTTGTCTCATTTTGTTCTGTTCACTTCTATTTAACTACTATCTAGGAAAATATCTGTCATGTAATGATACCCCAAAAAATATTTGCTGAAGGAATGTATAAACCATAGGAAAACACTTGTATGATTATGGTCTGGAATTAAAGAGATTTTAAAAGGTTGCACTAGATTTTTTTTAAAAAGAGAAAATGTGCGAGTAAGTTTGGATGGAATTAACATAAATTTTTACAACTTAGCTGGAGTGTCTACTTGCCTAAAAATGTATGAAAATAAAGAGCAAGGTTGGCCCTAAGTAAAGACATATTTGAGAAAAGAGTTACACGTGAACTGAGAATAATCTGAAAAGAAAAAATAAGTTTGTGATAAATTAGTAATTGCTTCCTCTGCCCCCATTACTTTTATTAAATAATAATAAAATGCAACATCAGTAGCTTTCTTTGATTTAAATTACTTAAAGCCACAAAATATCACGTAAAAATTAGATCTATTTGCAAAGTCTGTGGTTTGTGATTCTGAGATCCAGGGACAGAAAAAGAAAGGGGAATGTGTGATTTCC